AAGTAGTTAGTAAACAGTTGATTGACAGTTGAGAGGCGGGCCGAAAGAGCAAAGCTCAACCCCCGTAAAACACAACTAGTAAACACACACACACACACATAAAGTGAAAGGCATATAAGGCGACATAAAGCGCATAAGGTGAAAGGAAACGTGCTCAACCATTTCTACCCTGCCCGGGAATCGAACCTGGGATACCCGAGTGTGAGTCGAGAACAAAGTCAACTGCACAAAGAAATGAAGTGCTGGAGCAGTCTCCACACACAATTTCGAATGTACATCAGTTGATGGAAGGGTGAGAGGCGGGAGTAAAGAGCTGAAGCTCCTCCGTCGAGGACAACAAGGTGTGTACCCGTGCAGCTAGAGTGAGGAGCGCCGCCAGCTGCAGCGGCCACCTTAGTGGAGAGTCCCATTTCTCGCCTTCTCTCGGTATATTTACTCCCGGTGATGTCTACGTGACTCCTGCCCCCCCTCACCCCCGCTCTTCTCCCTCATTACTCCCTCATGTTCCATGGGTTCATGTCCCCGCCTCCCCTCCCCTTCCGTCCCTCCAGGAGTCCCCGCCTCCCTACTCCTTGCCTCCCCCCTCACTGTTTTTATTTTTTCAGTAAAGATGATGAAGTTCTCCATCATAATGGAGAATATGATGATGATAGGTGAAGGGAAGTTTAGAAGTGAGAGTTATGAAAGAAGGCGGACTGTCCGCCTTGCTGACACGATGTGTGAGTGTTGGCAGCTAAGCTAAGCTGGTTCTCTTTCATCAGGGAGCTGTGAGTGTGCGAGAAGTTCTTCACATGTGCTACAGCATATATGGATGTCTATATATGAATACTGTGTAGCATTCATAAATGCACACTCCGATGCTTCCACATTTCTGCATGGTCTTCCATGCAGACCAAAGCACCAAAGCTCAACCCCCGCAAGCACAAATAGGTGAGTACATTGGGCAGGGAAACGATGGGCAGAGTTTCTTTCACCCTATGCCCCTGTTACCTAGCAGTAAATAGGTACCTGGGAGTTAGTCAGCTGTCATGGGGTGCTTCCTGGTGTGTGTGTGGGGGAGGGGGGGAATAGTAGTAATAGAAACAATTGATTGACAGTTGAGAGGCGGGCCGAAAGAGCAGAGCTCAACCCCCGCAAGCACAACTAGGTGAATACATATGCTATGTTATGCTGTTTATATGACCTCGCCTGTGCTCAGTGTGGACCTCAGGGCACAGGCCCTTTGGGTAATTAGAGGGTCGGTGACCGTCTCTTCTCTCCCTACCCCTCCCCCACCCCCCCCCGGTCCCTGTCCATTATCTCCACCCCAACTACCGGTGTGCTCCCGCCCAGCAACACCACCGGGAGCCTAACAACCATCCCTGACATAGGCCTCGACAATGTCTAAGTTGCCACTCAATCTTGTTTGGGCGCTTCTGAAAAATTGACAAATACCGTGTTTTATTGTAATTAAGATCAGGCAAAATAAATCCGGAGTGCACGACAGATACAAGGAGAGGAGAGGGATAAAAAGTCGAGCCATGACTGGAGTACAAAAGACACAATGACATCATAATAATCTTATACATCTATGATAAAATCTTTGGAGCAGGATAGGAATCAAACAAGAGCCCTTGGGTACCTCAGACGCACGCCTTAACCCGTGGGATGCTCAATATTATACAACCTGGGATCAGCCGAATCCACTAGGAATCTGGAGGTATCGAGGTGGTGTCAATCTAAGGTTTACATATAACCCTCGTACACTCTGGTGTAGGTCCCTGCTGGCTTCTCCACCCAACGCTCCCTTCAGTCTACAACCTGGGCCCGCGGGAGGACCCGGGTTATGTTATCTTTACCATATCGTGGTCCATGGGATAAGGTGTGCTTCTGGGGTTACCCAGCTATTACTTAGGGCACCGCAGAGTACCGGTACCATAGATGTAACTTGGTGAACCATTAGAAGGGGGCGCCAAAGAGTATCGGTACCGTGCACCACAGGATACAGATACTATCGTATCCTGTACAGCTGTAACAATCGAATTTTCAGATTCACAGAATGGACCTAGCAGCGTATTTTAAGAGCTGCAAATGTTTATTATTTTTGTTTTATTTCATTTTGACCCAAGGTAAGGTAATTATGAGGGGAAAGCAGAGTTTATTACTCCCAATCAACCAGCGCTAGGCTATCTCTGTCTCCACGACGTCATCTGACATCTGACACAACTTCCTGATAGCCTTTGTCTCAACACACACAGTGTGTTTGTCTTATCAACGCTTTTCTGCGTGATTTTTTCAGCACTTATTGAGTCTTAATGTCTTGCCACCTAAACAATGGAAGGGTCAAGGGGGCACCATTATTGGGCTGTGCTGAGGGCATCAGCTGGCCTTAATCCCGTTCTGCTTGGCTGTAACTTCCTATAAACAACTTATAAAGTCAAGGAGTTGTAGCTGGAAAAATAAATACCTTTGCTATCGCCAACAAGAACTTTGGAAATATCCAAAGGAGCAACAGACAAAATGTCTGAGGTACAAAAGATCACCAGAAGAACAGATCTTACAAAAGAAATTAAGAATCAGAGTGTAAGGTACTTGCTAAATCTTGAATTAAGAATTAATTCACCCATAGGATTCTAAACCCACGAAGCCTGTCATCACCTCCACCTCACTTGCCCGCAACCTAGCCCTTCCTGACCCCACATACTCCCCCGCCCCTGAAATCCCAGGGGGCCCCAACACCTGTGAGCTGAATCTTCCCTGTAGGTGACACAGCAAATACTGCAGTCGCAGTGAACTTGGGTGGAACCCAATCGCAGTGACCTTGAGATGGTACAGTCATGGTGACCTTGAGATGGCACACATTAACACGCTATACTCTAAGGAATATATATATATATATATATATATATATATATATATATATATATATATATATATATATATACATATATATGTCGTACCTAGTAGCCAGAACTCACTTCTCAGCCTACTATTCAAGGCCCGATTTGCCTAATAAGCCAAGTTTTCCTGAATTAATATATTTACTATAATTTTTTTCTTATGAAATGATAAAGCAACCCTTTTCTCTATGTATGAGGTCAATTTTTTTTTATTGGAGTTAAAATTAACGTAGATATATGACCGAACCTAACCAACCCTACCTAACCTAACCTAACCTATATTTATAGGTAAGGTTAGGTTAGGTAGCCAAAAAAAGCTAGGTTAGGTTAGGTTAGGTAGGTTAGGTAGACGAAAAAACATTAATTCATGAAAACTTGGCTTATTAGGCAAATCGGGCCTTGAATAGTAGGCTGAGAAGTGCGTTCTGGCTATTAGGTACGCCATATATATATATATATATATATATACATATATATATATATATATATACATATATATATATATATACATATATATATATATATATGTATATATACTCTAAGGAGTATATATATATATATATATATATACTCTAAGGAGTATATATATATATATATCACCGACAATGACCTAAGGTATTATTAGGGGACAAACTCACCAGGTTTCAACCCTCACGGCATTGACTACATAGTTTCGTATATCGTGTATATGTCTCTTGTCACTACTCCCTGCGGAACCATACACAACCGCATGTAAATAATACCCACACATGGCCAGTCTGAACAGTCTTGGAGCGGACGCACCGCCTTCCTTTCCCACACTCACCAACAAACAGTTACAAGGTCACCGGGAGAGTTTCCCGAGCAGCAATGTACACGGAGCAACGACAATAAGGAGACCCGTGAACCAGGCAAGTGGCCGCAGCTGGCCATGTTTACGCTCAGTTCGAAGCGCTTCTTGGCACTGAATATATAGGCGTCATATAGAGTACAGGCTTCTCGCTGACTGCTGTTGCCTTCAGCAAGCATTGTGTCCTCAGCGCTCCGCAGAGGAGGAAAGGCACAGGGGGATCAACGCGGTCGCATGACGACCGAAATGTTCATAACATGCTCGTAACAGCAGAGTTCGTTCTCGCGAAAGGACAGGAGCGGTTTACACACGACTTACAACTGATTTCGTTCGAACACTTCCGGAACAAGTGCTTCACTGACGAGTTTTGTTCGAACCACAACGCTATAAATGCTTCACCCACGTACTACAAATGCAAATAATCGCCAACCGAACCTAAACACCTAACCTAACCTATGCCTATATATGCACAATATGCTAATATATTATAATATTAATTTATATTTGAGAAAATTCTTGTTTTGAATGAACAGCATGTTAAAATTTATGAATGCGTCTGTGGGGGCGACCGCTGGATGTAATGGACTTGAGTCGAGGACGGGTTGGGCGATTGGGCACGTTTTCTTTCGCCTGTCTTTTGTTCAGCTAGTAGTAAATAGGTACCCGGAAGTTATGCAACTGTTGTGGGTTGCGTCCTATCTAAGGTCAGTAGATGACTTAGGCCTAGGCTCCAGGAGGACCACAATATTATTCCAACAGGCTTCCTGTCTGGAGTATACCAGACAGTTGTGACCACAGTACTCACAGTTGTGACCACAGTACTCACCACACCCACTGGTCCGTGGCGTCATATACCACCACCGCCGCCATGATGAGTAACTCACCGAGTCATCCCGTCAACATGTCAACTCTGCCACTCAAGTATTCCATATCAAGTGTTTTGTCCACGTGAGGTTTCTAGTGACTAACTACACTTTTTGTCTACTTTATGTTTGCAGGTGTGTCATTCTGAGTCACTTACCAGATGAGAGCCGGGCACCTGCTGTTTGTAACGTACCAGTCCACGTCACACGTGTTCCACTCACTCCCTGTTTTTTTTAGTCTATTTTCACGGATACAAAATCTGTAATCGATCTTTTCCTTGCCTAAACCTAATGCAGTATAAGATGAATTCATCTACTATATATATACATATATATATATTTATACATAATATATATTTAGTATTGAAATATGGTATGAGGGGTCGTGTGAAAACCATGGAGAGAAGAGCACAAGAGCACAGGACACACCTCACACACGTCTCCCCCACCAGCAGTCCACCACTCAACTAAGACTCTGGCGCCCATGACCACATTTATACCATGTACCGGTATGGTGGTCACGTGACCCATGGCACATGTCAAGACGGGGATGGAGCTTGTGCTTGCCTAAGATCCCGCTGTGCTCTTGCCCAACCAAAACAAACACAAAGACACACACACACACATATCCATGGAAATCCAGCGGGAAATAACCTTACTACGTATACCATTGACTCAAATAAGACATTCCTCTCTCGCCGGCATGAGGCATAAATAGCCGCAAATGTTTTCAATTCAAAGAGAACTGGAGACGAGGGCAGCGACATGTGTCGATGTGGGTTGTGGGCGGCAGCTGTGTATGAGCGGGTGGGAGGCTGCAGGGTGCAGGGGACGCGTTGACGTCTGACCAGTGGGCGGGTGGGAGCCTTCAGGGTGCAGGGGGCGTGTTGACGTCTGACCAGTGAGCGGGTGGGAGCCTTCAGGGTGCAGGGGACACGTTGACGTCTGACCAGTGAGCGGGTGGGAGCCTTCAGGGTGAAGGGGACGTGTTGACGTTTGACCAGTGGGCGGGTGGGAGCCTTCAGGGTGCAGGAGACGTGTTGACGTCTGACCAGTGGGCGGGTGGGAGCCTTCAGGGTGTTGGAGACGTGTTGACGTCTGACCAGTGGGCGGGTAGGAGTCTTGAGGGTGCAGGGCACGTGTTGACGTCTGAATCTTCCCAGAATTAGTCATTTGTCCCACGTTGCGTAGCTGTGACACCATAGACGCCATTTCCTACAATTTTTGAGGTGACTCGTGATAAGAAAGTGAACTAAATATTAGCTAAGAATATTGTGGCAGTAATTAGCTCTGGGAAGATTGGGAAAACAGTAATAAAGCAGATAATATCAGAAAGAAAGCGAGGGTTTAAGCTGAGCCTGGCCCGGGTGGACGGGGCCATGGAGGTGTGGAGAGGAGGGCCACAACACCCCATGTGGCACCCTGGCCATCGCCTCTACAGGTGTGACGGTGCCAGAAACACGTAGCTCTGGCATGCGGTAGATGCTTCCCCTCACCCAATGAAATGAACGTGTAGAGGAATGTGTGGGGTGATCGTGGCTCATGCCACTCCAAATACCGCACCCACAGATATATGCACCGAGGGCTGGACCAAGCCTTCTCGGTGTGTGTGTGTAAATATATATATATATATATATATATATATATATAAGAAATATATATATATATATATATATATATATATATATATATATATATATATATATATATATATATATATGTTGTACCTAGTAGCCAGAACGTCATACTCGGCCTACTAAGCAAGACCCGATTTGCCTAATAGGCCAAGTTTTCACGAATTTATATATTTTTCTAATTTTTTTCTTATGAAATGATAAATCTGTCCATTTCATTAAGTATAAGTTAATTGATTTAAATTTGAATTAAAACATAGATATATGACGGAACCTAACCAACCCTACCTAACCTAACCTAACCTATCTTAACCTAACCAAACTAACATAACTAACTCAATAATTTATGTTCCTAACATAATTTAATAATAATATTTAAAATAAACCAATAGGAAACACTTTATTGAAAATAAAGAAAATCACTCGGCCTATTAGGCAAATCAGATCTTGTATAGTAGGCCGAGAAGTGCGTTCTGGCTACAAGGTACGACATATATATATATTGGGCAGGAGGCGTTCTTTTAAACATGTTTGGTTCACTATGACAGCATTGCTGACGTTGGTGATCTTATATTATACGCTTCCTATGCTTCTATGTTCTTACTCTCGGGGTTAAGAAGAACAATCAAGTTACCGAGGTTCATGGTAAGGAAACTAGTGATTATTGAAGAGTTTATTATCTACAACGTTCCGTTCTATTCTGGAACACCTTCAAGAAAGGAAGAAAACACAAAATTGTATTGCACCTCTCGGTGAATATACACACTGAGGAGTTGTTCTAGTCTTGGGGTAAAGTGTACTTGTTGGTTGATCAGTAAGGTGTTGTGATGGCCTTATTCCCGCGGTTGATGGGCCATGAGCCCGCCACTCCAGTACATCGCTAAGGTGACAATAGCCTAGTGTTTATGCCCCACTTCCTCCTTTCTATATGGCGTGGAGTCACTCATTCTCGTGAATTGCTGGGCACCATCATTAATGACCTGAACTCAGCTTATTAGTCACCTTGATAAGAGCAACGCTATTACCATTTTCGGGTAATGACCAGGCAGATAGATACCTTAGCAAGGTCGACCCCGGAACTCAGTGGAGTCACCTTTCTTCCCCAAGAGATAGGCCACTGCTTTCTTTGGGAAAGAAGACATCACAACTTCTCCCGTGGAAAAGTCAGTGGATCAGCCTGGTTCTGCCTTATGGAGATAAACGCACCATTACCGACTGGACGACCTCCTACCGCACTAACAAGAGAGAGGAAGTCGTCCTGGCACGCCTCTGACTCCACTGCAGTGACAATGTACTTCCAGCCCTACAGCACACGCCAGTTTCCTGCCGTGTGGCGGGAACTGCAACAACGTCCTCTCCATCAAGCACCTTCATCTCACCTACAGCGCTTCACGCCGTCCTCTCCAGCAGTACCGTCAGGTCTCAGTACGACACTCTACTTATACCATCTGCTAGATGACAACAAAGATGTAGCTAACACCTTCATGATCTTCCTGAAAGAGTGCCATCTTCTGAAGGTGATGTGAATAAGACAGGGCGGACCTGTACATATTCCTATGCACGCTGGAAACATTTTTTCTTTCACGGAAAAGAGTTGGGTTGGGAAAGGAAAGTTCTACATCATCTTGTACACTTAACACCACCCTCTCAGTATGCTTCCCGCTGGCGATTACCACTGCCGCTGACGACCCCGTCTGTGAGTAATTACCTAAGTGTAATTACCTAAGTTACAGTTACAGGATGAGAGCTACGCTCGCGGTGTCCCGTCTTCCCAGCACTCTTTGTCATACAACGTTTCGAAATTACTGACGGTTTCGGCCTCCACCACCTTCTCACTTAACTTGTTCCAACCGTCTACCACTCTGTTTGCGAAGGTGAATTTTTTTCATGTTTCTTCGGGATATTTGTTTAGTTAGTTAAAATCTATGACCTCTTGTTCTTGAAGTTCCGGGTCTCAGGAATACTTCCCTATCAATTTTATCGATTCCCGTTACTATTTTGTATGTAGGGATCATATCGCCTCTTTTAAGCTACCTTCTAGTTTTGGAATATTTAATGTCTCTAACCTCTCCTCGTAGCTCTTGTTCTTCAGTTCTGGGAGCCATTTAGTTGCATGTCTTTGCACCTTTTCCAGTTTATGCGCTTCTTAAGATATAGGCACCATATGTGTGTGCTCACCTATTTGTACTCACTTATTTGTGCCTGTACGATCGAGCATTGACTCTTGGATCCCGTCTTTCTAGCCATCGGTTGTTTACAGCATTGACTCCTGTCCCATTTCCCTATCATATCTAGTTTTAAAGTTATGAATAGAATTTGCTTCCACAACCACTTGTTCCATTTGTTTGTGTGTGTGTGTGTACTCACATAATTGTACTCACCTAATTGTGCTTGCGGGGGTTGAGCTTTGGCTCTTTGGTCCCGCCTCTCAACTGTCAATCAACTGGTGTACAGGTTTCTGACCCTATTGTGCTCTATCATATCTACACTTGAAACTGTGTATGGAGTCAGCCTCCACCACATCACTTCCTTATGCATTCCATTTGTCAACCACTCTGACACTAAAAAAGTTCTTTCTAATATCTCTGTGGCTCATTTGGGCACTAAGTTTCCACCTGTGTCCCTGTGTGTGTGTGTGTGTGTGTGTGTGTGTGTGTGTGTGTGTGTGTGTGTGTGTGTGTGTGTGTGTGTGTAAGCTACACCCATCCACACCTGCTGTGCTCCTTGCTACTCTTACATCTCCGGAGACACAGACTCATTCCTCCTTTGCTTTTTTAGGTTTATTCGCTAAAATGACCACAGAAATCAAACTGGAAAAGGGCGCGTTGTCCTAATGGCCTCCCATAGGTCGCTAGCTGTAAAGCCCAACGAGTTAGTTACGTCAGGAGATCCTATACAATAACACTTGCCTCAGTGTTCACAAATACAGTGATTGAAATTCAGCGAAGCATTCCCCACGTCCCTACCTTCCCACAAGGGTATCTTACCTTACCACCAACGGCCGCGTTTAGGGAGAGTCACGTTATCCGTTACCTGTGGTCATTGTTAAGCTGTTTTAGTTGAGTTTTGACTCGTGGATCTCGAACCCAACCCGTGAGTGGTAGTTAACCACTCACAGGTATGGGGTTAACCACAGGTATGGGGTCCACTACCGCTCCGTCCTCGACTCAAGTCCATTCCATCCTCCGGTCGACTCCATAGACGCATTCATAAATTTTAATATGCTGCTCATTCAAAACAGGAATTTTCTCAAATATAAATTAATAGTATAACATATTAGCATATTGTGCATATATAGGCATAGGTTAGGTTAGGTTAGGTGTTTAGGTTCTGTTGGCGATTATTTGTATTTGTAGTACGTGGGTGAAGCATTTATAGCGTTGTGATTCGAACAAAATTCGTCAGTGAAGCACTTGTTCCGGATATGTTCGAACTTCAGCAGTTGTGAGTCGTGTGTAAATCGCTTTTCATTCATAAACAGGGGATTTGGCGGGTGGATGGAATCACTTTTGGATCTTTGTTTGGAGGACGGGCTGTTTATAGCGTTGTGGTTCGAATAAAACTCGTCAGTGAAGCACTTGTTCCGGAAGTGTTCGAACGAAATCAGTTGTGAGTCGTGTGTAAACCGCTTTTCATTCATAAACAGGGGATTTGGCGGGTGGATGGAATCACTTTTGGATCTTTGTTTGGAGGACGGGCTGATTTGTATTACGTGGGTGAAGCATTTACAGCGTTGTGGTTCGAACAAAAGTCGTCAGCGAAGCTCTTGTTCCGGAAGTGTTCGAACGTCATCAGTTGTGAGTTGTGTGTAAACTGTTTTTCAAATATAAACAGG